GGGCATTCCGGCCATCCCAAGGGTGTCCCTGTGATCCCAGGGGTGCTCCGGCCATCCCAGGGCGCTCCGTGTCCATCCCGGGGTGTCCCAGGGCACTCCGGCGATCCCAGGGTGTCCAAGGACACTCCGGCCATCCCAGGGGTGCTCTGTCCATCCCAGGCTGTCCCAAGGGCGCTCTGGCCACCCCGGGGTGCTCCAGCCATCCCAGGGCGCTCTGTCCATTCCAGGGTATCCCATGGGTGCCGTGTCCACCCCAAGGGTGCCGTGTCCATCCCAGGGTGTCCCACGGGTGCCACGTCCACCCCAGGACACTCCGGCCATCCCAGGTCACTCTGTCCAGCCCACGGGTATCCCATGGGTGCCGTGTCCACCCCAGGGTGCTCCGGCCACCCCAGGACACTCCAGCCATCCCAGGTGTGCCGTGTCCATCCCAGGGTGTCCCACGGGTGCCACGTCCACCCCAGGACACTCCGGCCATCCCAGGTCACTCTGTCCACCCCAGGTCACTGTGTCCACCCCAGGTCACTGTGTCCACCCCAGGGGTATCCCATGGGTGCTGTGTCCACCCCAGGACACTGCAGCCATCCCAGGTCACTCCGGCCATCCTGGGGTGTCCCAGGTCACTCTGTCCATCCCACGGGTGCCGTGTCCACCCCAGGTCACTGTGTCCACCCCAGGTCTCTCTGTCCACCCCAGGTCACTGTGTCCACCCCAGGTCACTCCGGCCATCCCATGGGTGCCGTGTCCACCCCAGGTCACCGTGTCCACCCCAGGGTATCCCATGGGTGCCGTGTCCACCCCAGGTCACTGTGTCCACCCCAGGTCACTGTGTCCACCCCAGGGGTGTCCCATGGGTGCCGTGTCCACCCCAGGTCCCTCTGTCCACCCCAGGGCGCTCCGGCCACCCCAGGGTGCTCCGGCCATCCCATGGGTGCCGTGTCCACCCCAGGTCGCTGTGTCCACCCCAGGGGTGTCCCACGGGTGCCGTGTCCACCCCAGGTCCCTCTGTCCACCCCAGGGCACTCCGGCCATCCCATGGGTGCCGTGTCCACCCCAGGACACTCTGGCCACCCCAGGTCACTGTGTCCACCCCAGGTCTCTCTGTCCACCCCAGGGGTGTCCCATGGGTGCCGTGTCCACCCCAGGTCACCGTGTCCACCCCAGGGGTGTCCCATG